ACGGCTTGAAAATTGCAATAACCCTGAAGGTTGGTCCACGCAGTCGTACTCTTGTTGATTCACACTCCGCAACAAAGTTGGAAGTGAACAGTTTCAAGTAAATTTATAGGTTTAAGTGTGTATTATTATCTAGACAAATATTACCGTTAGTTATCTGATCAGTAATTATTTAACAAACTCCAGCAATCACGTTTGAATCACATCGAGCAGCTAGGTTGATAAAGAACATTGTATGATCATCAGCTACAACAAATAAGCGTCGCTATTAACACAGAGGCATTACACTAAGCTTTCTTAATGGATCACTTATGGCTCATCCAAAAATTATAGTTAGGTTTAAAAATATCAATAACAAAAGTATTGATAATTAGTTGTTACAACTCCAAGCATTTCCACTTCTGAAAGTAAACCTTAATTCGCAACCAAGAATGGATAATCTCAGTCAGTTCAGACACCACAACCAAAAACGAGGAGCGAATCGAAATTGAAGCAGTCATAATCAAAAATTCAAGTAGAAAAACGTAGGTGTAGTCGTGATGATCATGAAGATCCAACAGAAATATAAGAAAAGTAACAACTACAATAAATAATAGACCGTAATTGTTTAATCTATAATCAGATGATCAACGGAATGTACAGCTGAAGGGACAAAGGAGAATGACTTTAGTTTTTTTACATGAAAAATGTCTTCGTGGAGGTGCCTTCATATGTATTCACACAAACCCCCAAAACCGACTTCACAGTCAGTATTTCTGTCCTCCGAGATACCTTTTTAACGTTAATCCAGTCGCTTACAGTAGCCCTCGAAGGAACTGTGGAATTAGCCTAGTTCGGTATTGGTGCTACCCTATCTATATACCTAATTCCAAAATTGCAAATTTATAATGGTGCGAGTGTCTAAACTATAAGATTTACGTTCACCACTGCTGACCTTCTCTCCGTGTTAAACGTTTAATATAAGTTTTCTCAGTTATTTCATATGCGGTTGGAACCAATGCCTTTCCACTACTCACCCACCAGAATCAACGTGTGATTGCTCCAATACCAAATCGAGTAGAATTGTCGCGCACTGGAGGTTACCAAAGGAATAATGGGGATCCTCTGGATAAATCAGAAAGAAGGCATCAACAAGTGGTTGGGTGGTGAGAACCGATACCACAACTGAAGCACGGTTGCATTCTAAGAGGTTGACACAAGTTAATCGAGGGAATCTAATGCTATCGGTGTTGTGACAATTTCGAGATGCAGTGTATCCTTATTTGTGTTGCCGTATGATCCAGGAATATTTTTTCAAGGACACCTACCGCGTTTCTTTGGTTGGTTATTCGGTCCAAGACTTTTTCAATATTGCTAGCAGTTTTCTCTAAAAACCTTATCAAAAAACTGACAATATTGCCAAACATATCTTTCGAATTGATATCAGATGTGCAACGTACCTGCTCGCGACCCAACTCGCTGAGTCCATTGCAGGCTGCCTCTGTGAAACCTCTCTATGCTCCACGAAACCTCATTTTGCATTTGTGACATTCCATATCACAGGTGATGGCAAACCAGTAGTTAGACCGACTGCATGTTGTTTACTGGCGATGATGAAATATAAGTATGAATAAAATTGTCAACTAAGATTAGATGAAAAGTTTGCAAACGTGAAAAAACCGAAAATTGAGTTCTATACACTTTAAATAAGCCAAAACTACCATTTGGTCGTGGAAAACTGTGAATGCCGATTAGAAAGCTTTGTAGAAACCTTATATACCTATTAATCTTGAATGTAACTCGAAAAAGCCGATAATCTAACGAATGGTGAGCTCAATATAAGTTCTTTGAATCAAAAATGTTACTTTGTTTTACATATGAAATGACCATACTAACCTATTGCTAATAACGGGAAACATTCAGTTTCTGCTGCCAGGTTGGAATATTTAACTTACTCAAAGGGTACAAATCGCTTCTTCTCTTGCTGGCATATAACTAAAATAAAAACTCTGGAAATTATGATCATACTACGGTTGAGCCACTGAGGAATATCCGGATGTCTCAACCAGCTTCTCTCTTTTTGGTTGCTTCAACCACGATACATGCTCACAGATTCACTTGAAAACACAGAACTTGCATGAAAGTTACTACGTACACGAGAATTTGATTGCTAGGATGGCCAAAAATGGTTTTACGGTTTTAAGTGTCTCCTAGACTTCATTTTTGCGTAGCATACATGCTATCACTTTTACTATTCCTCCCTTTTAAGACTTACGTCTTGTGTACTTCTTTCTTGAATTGCCCAAGGTTCGATCTTTATGCCTATTTGGTAGAATACTTACACTATAACTACAAGAACGGCTAGCAGAGGTCCTAATGCAGGAGGCCAGTAGGTCGGAGACCTCTGTCTCTAGCAAGTAGGTCATAAAATAGTCCAAAACTGCTCTTTGTGATGAATCTCAGAATAGTTTGTACTACGCGGATCGCAATATTTGAGCGTCGAAACCCACTATCCAACTAGGCAATTAAGATCACGCTCCTGATCAGACTCTTACTCCTACTGAGACTAGTATGTAACGAATAGGGAGAGTGTCAGAAACCTCTGATGAAGAATTAGGAAGAACACAAAAACGATAATTGTACCACATGCCTGTCGCTAGTCAAACCAAGGATTCAGCGTTTGAAGGTATTCTCTGTGGTATCTAGATTCATTATCGTTGAGACATAGCGGTAGTTAATCTGTACTACGGGTTCACGCTAAGTCATTCATGTTCATAGTTCTGTAAGATGTGCCCACTGTGTAGAAAGGATTCATAGTAAACACATGACCCCATTGAAAACAGCGGTACCAATGCCCATCAGTATAATGAGTTAGTCCAACACAGGTTAAAGTAAACGCGTCACTATGGGAACCACGACTCGAGGTCGAACAACAATAAGATTGCCACGCATTCCATATGCTTCAGTCACTTAGCGATAACGAGCACCAAGTGGATGATAAAATGGAATATGGCAACAACACAGCCCCCTATGGCTAAAATCAGTTATAAAGAAGTCAGACATGACTCCTTGATTTCACTTGATGTTCCAGTGTCAGAGGGTAGTTTAATGGAATGTATGACAGACTTTCAAAAGGAATAGTGAGGTAAATACTGCGAAAAGCTGCGAATGGGTGCTGCTTCAGACAAACTTTGCAGCTGGTGTAAGAACCGAAATGTAACGAAAGGTAAACCTCTTCCATTAGGGTAGCTTTAAAATCAGCATACGCCAAATAAGATATATTACTGGTATTTTGATGGCCGTCGACTGAATGGCCTTCTAGAATCCGAATTGGAAACGACAATTTGTGGCTCGGGACTGATGACATTGGGTCGCCAACAAATCCCCAAGGACTAGCCAGTATAGTGGTTCATGGATGGTCTGAGCTGGTAGGTGGCAGCCTGGGCGAGGCAAAACGAACGCGAAGTGCAACAGTGGTGTTGATTGTTAAGTAGCCTAGGCCTTCACACCACCATGGCAATTATCATGTCTCTGTTTCCTCTTCCCTCACACCTCATGATCATTAAGTCTTCCCATATAGTGGTTGTGAACTTCGTAAACCGAGAAGACCTGACTAGGGTTCTTAATACCTGGTATGGCTTGAAGTATGATATATCCAGCAACATTGCATTTTTCAAGAACAGACGTATACCAGCAATATAATATCTTAAAATTCAAATAGAACACATCTTCGTGTCGGTTGACATTGGCAGGTAACCCATGGCACAGATTACAGAAACCACGGTCTCGCTAATAAAACATACTACACAAACAAGAATACGAAGCGGTCAATTTGCACAGAACTGGCTTGCCGACCTTGAACATAAATTTGTTTTTACTACTCAAAAACAAAGGATGGTGTTTATGGGGCATGAAACGATAAGAAAAAACCCTGTATAGCAGCGTTAGGAGACTAAGGGGTAATTAAGAACGATCGAAAATATTTGTTTTCAATTGAATTAAAAGATAAAAGTGCTAACTAAAATGTGGCTCACTCCCAATAACACGGATCATGAAGTGGGCATGCAAGATTCGATACAATTTTGATGTGATATTGTACAGAAAAAGGTAGGAAGAGTGGTAATATACACCAACATTCATTTTGAAGTTGAAAACAACACAATACCCAAATAACTGATGTGACAAAATTATACTGGTGTAACTTTAACGCGAATGGCACCAAGTACTTGAATGAAGGGATGTACTAGGCACTCAGAGGTTCTAACACCCAGGAAGATAATCAAGGAGCAATTACCTGAGTTCGACTTGACACTTCTGGCGTGAGAAATCAACTTTCTGTCCGTCGATCTCGTAAGACAGGATACAAGCCATAGAAGGTGGTTACAGAAGCGACTTATCACATGTACTAAAATTTGGGAACTGGCTAGACATATGACTAGCGAAAAAACCGTCGAAATTAGACTATTTACAAACAAATGGTTAGCCTCTATATAAAGGTTTCCATGCCCAAGAACTAATAGTTTGGAGTAACCACAAAACATTCATATTTAGCTTGATGACAAAACCATCAGTTGAAGTGACCTCAGACGGCTAATCACTGGATAGTTTCAAGAGGAGACTTGACTCTCATGGACTACCATCGTCCGTTTAGACCAACTGTGTCTGTTGCATGCCATAAAAAACCTGAAGTTTTCATTACCGCATACCTTAAACTTATTCCCACCTCGCTCATTTGTCGTCACTGTTCTCCCTTTTGTTCTTACGCCTCAGTCAACTAACACTGTCAAGATTACTGACTAATTACCCTGTTCTTGGGCTCTTGAAACAATCGTCTCGCTCTATTATTATTTACACTACAGCCAACACACTTCCGAAACAACATGAGAACCGAAAACTCCACTACCCTGAGAAAAATGGAGTCAAAAAGATAACAAGATAAACAAATCCGCAAATGTGTACCAAAATAATTGAAGTTAGTGTGATGTGGTTGTTGAACTTTAAACTAAGTCGAAAAATTTGAAAGACTAAAAGCCGACTCAAAAAGCTGCGAGGATTATAAAATAAACCATATCATTTGCACAAATTTGTCACAAGGCCATTATCTATTGGATACTACGGATTTGTTTTAATTTACCAACAAGGTATCGAATGGCTGAGATAATAGACGCTCACAAATTAAAGCAGCGTGGTCAGAAATAACGTGTTGCTGGGTCTCGCGCTGTTTAAGTCGAACGATATTTTTTAGGTCAAATAAAGTCATCCCATTCATTACTGCAGCACGCTCTGTGGATTTACAGTAGTTATTCGCGTCACCACGTCAACAATGATAAATATTAATACCAGATCAGGTAATTTCATATTGACTAGTTATATCCGTAGTTCTACGACCTGAGTATTTGTATCACTCATACAACTTCTCTACCCCGTCTACTCTCAAAACTTACGATTGTGTCTCAAGTAAGATTAACACAAACACTGCCCCTGTTTATCATCTCGAGGGCAAGTCACATGTTAAAAAGTTGCGTCCTGATAATAAACGAGGTAAGTCATTTATAATGAGTACTCATGTTCCATAAAGTTCATCCATATAAAAAGCCATGTGGGAATTATGCGACTAACACAACCAACCCAAAAGACAAGATTCTGTGGCCTATGACTTCGAACAGATCAGACTCGTCGGATTCCGAAGGTGTATCTCACGAAAATTCCTCATCTCCATCCCTATCGTTTGTGTCAAGGTACTCATCTGAATCTACGACTCATAACTACGAAACTAAATCTCTTGTAAATGATGTTCAGTCTATTCGAGAAACCAACACATCTCATCCTAGATCACATTCTCATGGTCAAGCCGAACAAATCCGAAGATCTCGCGAATCTATAACATTTGCTCTTATTGATGCCCAATTATCAATACCACCTCTCAGTCAAGTTAGAGATATGTATTTGCAAACTCGAAGTGGGTGTGGGACCTCAAACTCTACTGCACGAACTACTAAAAAAGCAAATTTATCTGTTGTGCATACGGTTGTCCGATTCAGGATTAAGGAATACTTAATTGAGCTGCGCGAACATATACGCCGTTCGCTCGACACTTTGTTCTACAATTTAGTTGAGAACTATGACTCTAAGTCTAGAGATACCTTGGCCACTGAAATTCTTGGACTACCCAGTCGCCAATGTTCACCTGATTGTGACTTCTGTTCAGATCTACTTCCAAGAAATGAGCGCTGCCGCACTCAAAACTATGATTCTAATCGTCAAAATAATTATCCATCTCAGCTGCTTGCTCAGATATCCAGCACTAGCCGTTCACCGAGTCCTTTATCAACGAGACCACAAATATCTATTTCATTGCCTTCAAATGATACATTTCGCTCTCAGACTCCTCCGGATTCAACAGCATCTTATGTGGGTTCCGATAATGATGTATTTCCAGATCCTGAACCTGTAGATAGTTGTATCAGTGATAATACTAATGCACTCATCAACACCAGGTTAAATCAGTCTTTATTTCTTGATTCATCCTCTGTGTTGGAGAGACCATTGCCATCCTACCATATCAACGTTTTCGATTCTCGCAATCACAAACGTGTCAGGCTAGATAGTACATCGCTTCGCCTCACCAATGAATTTGATTATACAGATTGGGCTGCAGATGATATTGATTTCGGTCCGTGCGGAGAAGAGCTTGTTGATTTACACTCTCTAGTATTTGATTCAAGTTCTGATATTCAATCGAAGATCGACGAGACATCTTTTGACCCCGCATATGACGTCAGCGACCTAATGCATCACTTCACGATGGACAAATACCATAGTCTTCAACTAGCTATCAGTCCATGAAAACATGCTTCTTCTGTACAGATACTATAGTGCATGCTTTTTTGCCTTGGCCACTGTACTTCTTATTCTACTCGTTGATTTTCTTCATTCTGTCTCGACTTTGTACATAAATACCGAAACAAAACTCATTTTGGTTAACTTTTGCAGATTATATACTATCCCATTTTTTTCATACATTTGCCATATATGTTTTGCACTCGGCTGTTGGTCGCTATAATGTATATTCTTTCAACTGATTGAATCAGTAGTCTTTATCTAATTTCGAATATTTCGTTTACTCAGCAGACAAATATAATGCGTACATGTTTTTGAACACTTTTTCTACTTCGATGCGACGGGCTGCTCAGATATGCGTTGAGTTACATCTTGTCTTCAGTTATATACTGTGGGTTTTAAGTGTTAAAAGTTCATATGCACGTCATTTCTGATGTATAAATGTATCATACTGCTGATATTCGGGTAGCTGTAGTACTTTTTGTGTTCTCCAAGAGCTGTCTAGGCGAGGTTGTATTCAGTGTTACTATTTGTTATAGATTCCTGAGTATATGTAGCTGGATCACTACGTTATCCCAGGGTTGGTTATGAACCACTCCTTAAAATTATATAACTTAATAAGGCCGGTGAAATTAAGAAGTCGACTAGCAGTAGATACGTAACGTATTGTGTGGTACCTTCAGCTCTAGCATTTGCTCAGAATACGACATCAGCATGGGGTTGTTGAGATCGTGAAGCGTTTGATGCTGTCAGTATTTCTATTTACCGAAATCCAGGATTATCGATGTTAACGGAGCTCAACATGACGTGCCAGTAATGCATTCCTGCTTGAATTTCTTTAGCTTTGAGAGAAACTGCTTATTTTAGTACAATATTTTCAATCTCCGCTTTATAAACAGATGTAATTTTAAGAACTGCGAAAAGGACATTAGTGGTCGTTAAGTGAGGTCTGCGTTATTGAATGGTTATTCATTACTCCACTGCACGATATTTTGTATGTTTAAAGTAAGGAACTGGCTCCAATGTGTTAAACACGTTTGTAATAAACGGGTACTGTTTCGATTGTTCAATCATAATCAGATTTTCGTATATGCTCATACTGGTTTTCATTGAAGAATGATTAAATTGGTGGACAGGGCTTTTAGTAGCTAACTGAATGATGATTTCGTCGTATTATATCAGATCCTCTTAGTTTAAATACTAAATTAACTAGTTCGAACGAGTAATGGTAATCTATCCATTGTGAGGAGTGTTGTTCCATGTCTTCTCGGAAGCGCCCACACTAGAGCAGTTACATCCAGTATCGACCTGTAGCATAACTCTAGATAAACAACGAACAGCATCTATTTTCCTTGTGTTCACATTTAAACTCTGATAAACGTCGATCGAGACTACCAGTTGACAACACCGAAAAACGTACAAGTCTTTGGAAATCTATATTCAATTTTATCATTACCGAGTGGTTGACGTTGTCCTAATGAATCTTGGTCTACGGTTGTATGCGATCTAGCGTCACTAATAATGAAAAGTTCCTCTGACATAGTTAGGAAACTGTCACATTACGTTTATGGGAAAACATAGATAGTGGCTACCAGTGGAATCTAGGGAGCGCGTTTCGTCCCGTTTGGCACTCGTCAACTGGATGCATCTGCGTTTCAGAGTTGATGTTCACTCTGGGGCTCGAACCCAGTATTGTTCGCTTCAAACGCCATCGCTACTGAGTCCTGATAGCCATCTGTTTGTGCAGTTGGGCCAAGTTATACTCACTTGGTGTTGTTTATTTGTACCTCCCCATCCAGCTGATGAGTCCCAAACAGGACGAAACGCGAGTCTTAGATCCCATTGCTGGCCACCTTCCAGCTTCTTTTATAAAGCTTGTGACATCAGACAATATCAAAGCAGGATGCATATATGCCAACAAGAGACTGATCACTTAGTATTGTTTGTTTGGATCTTCCCATCGATGTGTTTAGGACTGCAACTGGTCAGTCTCTAATTGGCATATGTGCATACTGTGCGTATTGCCTCGATATACCTTAATTCACAAGCATGGTAAGCAGAGATGGATAGTGGCTAGCAGTGGAATCCAGGACGCGCGTTTCGTCCTATTTGGGACTCGTCAGCTGGATGTACCTGCATCTCAGAGTTGATGTTCACTCTGGGACTCGAACCCAGTACCCTCGCTTCAAACGCCATCGCGTTATCCACTCGGCCACTGAGTCCTGATAGCCACTTGCTTGTGCGATGGGGTGAAGTTTGAATTCACTTAGTATTGTTTGTTTGGATCTTCCCATCGTTTGAAGCGAGGGTACTGGGTTCGAGTCCCAGAGTGAACATCAACTCTGAGATGCAGGTACATCCAGCTGACGAGTCCCAAATAGGACGAAACGCGCGTCCTGGATTCCACTGCTAGCCACTATCCATCTCTGCTTACCATGCTTGTGAATTAAGGTATATCGAGGCAATACGCACAGTATGCACATATGCCAATTAGAGACTGACCAGTTGCAGTCCTAAACACATCGATGGGAAGATCCAAACAAACAATACTAAGTGAATTCAAACTTCACCCCATCGCACAAGCAAGTGGCTATCAGGACTCAGTGGCCGAGTGGATAACGCGATGGCGTTTGAAGCGAGGGTACTGGGTTCGAGTCCCAGAGTGAACATCAACTCTGAGATGCAGGTACATCCAGCTGACGAGTCCCAAATAGGACGAAACGCGCGTCCTGGATTCCACTGCTAAGAGACTGATCAGTTGCAGTCCTTTATAACGATGGAAAGATACAAGTAATCAACGAATGAATATTTCTTTACGTGTTGTGGAAGCATTCCAAGAATGCAAGTTTATCGTTAATAATCATTTTTCGTCCCTGAAATCAAATTATTAAGATCAAACGTGTCTCGATTCCACATCCCCTCAATAAACGTTCTTATCGTTATGGTCAGTGCATTCGTCCTTTCCATTGTTTGTTATATATTGTTATGTTTCCTGACAAAAGTACTTTGTTGTCTTGGTTATCTCTTGATCGTTATCATCAATGATCAGGTTCATAAATGTTAATCATATAAACTGTTAAATAATGTAGCCCTATCTCTTAATATTTGTGTGTACATGTTTATACACAGAGGTAGAAAAAATTGACAAATCGTCCTATACCTTATCACTTTGATATCGATATGATTTTCAATGGGGTCAAGTGCGTTCGTATGTATCTGTATATGGTTAACCTGAAATAAACTGGTGTTTGGATGTGTATACATGTCTAGAAAGTCATGATGAATCTTCAGGCTGTGATATGACCGACCACAACATGAATCCAGCTAGTCTAATATATATTTTTTGCAAAGTGCAACGAGTACAATATATTTGTATTGCCATATTTTTAATAAACCATAAGCACGAAATCGATAAGATATCTCTTATGAAATTTGATTATCTCAAGTCATTTTAACTATCAAGTGTGTGCACCGCCATATCATCATTCATCGATTTTTGAATCACTGGAGTAAAGATATCTAAAGTTTGGTTCTCACCAAAAATGAACCTGGTTAAATGTGGCGTTTTACTACAACGTAGCCTGTCGATGGCAACTTAGAGATATGATGGTAAATCCTCATTCAAAATACCTAGAAATCCTGTTTTTGTTTCACGGGTAACTAACTACTTCTAAATAATCACAGTCTAGGGCTTGATGTTTAAGTATTACATCATAGTTTTAAGTTCACTCCAACCAATATCAAGCTATTAGGAATATTAAGTTCACAGTACATTGGTCTTAACGAAAGCTCTAGATTAATTTCAAGACTGTTAAATTTAATCATCTATCAATATTTTTACTTGAAAAATTAAATGATCAATTTTCTATACAATGATATCATTACTTCTAGACATAAATTTTACAGTCATTGTGTGGACGATGGGTTATTTTGTTTGCTAATGACTTAAATATTATTATAACTGCTAAGCGAATTTATCAGCTTTTCAAATGAGACAGACTATATGCATTAGAATTGTATGAGCAGATGGGACTTATTCAAAAGGCGTATTAACACGGTCATAAATATTACCGATACTGTATATAATGAAAGTTGATGAAAATCGCTCTTCAAACTATTATTAGTTTTGAATAAATTATCTTTATTATTAAAGTTAAGGAGCTTTTGTATTAAATTTTCATATCATATTTTACATTCAACTCTAGATAGTTGAGATAAATTTTCGTCAATGAATATTACTCAAGTTAAATCAGTCATAATTTGCAGTTTTAAATTTGTATGCCATCAAATATCATAAGCATGAAATTCATCAAATGTGAGTAGTCATCAATATATCGATTTAGAAAAATTTTACTACAGCAGTGACTAGAATACTCCAAGTTGTTTAAATAGCATTATTATCTACAGTTGTCATAACAGTTATATGAAGGCCATTAATTAACAAAAGTACTAGATCATTAGTGTACCTTTGTTGCCGATACAGGTCTCATGGTTAGATCATAAAAATTAAGTCAACAATAATACGTGCCATTCTTACCAAGAAGACCTCATATGTCATTGTAAGCAACGATGGATAGTGGCTAGCTGTGTAATCCAGGACGCGCGTTTCAACCTATTTGGGACTCGTCAGCTGGATGTACCTGCATCTCAGAGTTGACGTTCACTCTGGGGCTCGAACCCAGTACCTTTCACTTCAAACGCCATCGCGTTATCCACTCGGTCACTGAGTCCTGATAGCCACTTGCCTGTGCAATGGGGTGAGGTTTAAACTCATTTAGTATTGTTTGTTTGAATTTCCCCATTGATGTTTAAGACTGCAACTGGTCAGTCTCTAATTGGCTTATGTAGCTGCTTGGATAACGTGATGGTGTTTGAAGTGAAAGGTACTGGGTTCGAGTCCCAGGGTGAACATCAACTCGGAGATACAGCTACATTCAGCTGACGAGTCCCTAATAGGACGAGACGCGCGTCCCGGATTCCACTACTAGCCACTATCTATCTTTGCTTATAATGCTTGTGAATTAAGTTAATACGCAGAGTATGCACATATGCCAATTAGAGACTGACCAGTTGCAGTCCTAACACGCGATGGGAAGATTCAAACAAACAATACTAAAAAAACAACTCGTATATCATTGTTTTTGAAGTTTATCACATAAGTCTATGTGATTGTCCATTAGCCAGTGGACTGATAGTTGTGGACACAGTTTTATTAAATCGAACTTTACGTTCTAGGATGCATCCCGGTATCACAGTTAGTTTATCGCTTCTAGTGATAGCAAACCCATAGAAGTCAAGTTTCAAATTCCTAATGGAACC